AGAGGAGGGAGCAAAGGAGGTGGGGTGGGGCAGAAAGTGGAAATGAAAGCAGACAACAGAACATTGCTAGAGAGCAGGAAAGGAGGTGAACGGAGACAATTTTAGAGAAGAAAATTTTTTGGTCGCTACCCGGATTCGAACCCGGGACCTTTGAATGAGAGGCCAACACCTTAACCTCTAGGCCACGAGAGCCCCCTTCCGATGTCTACTCCAAACATGAAGACATGTGATGATGAAAATTATGATAATATATTATGATGATGATGGTGATGATGATTCAGTAGGCCTCTTAGGGCCTAAGCCATATATATTTTTGTAAAACAGAATGAGAAACTTGGGAATAATATTAGCAATATGGTGTAATCAGGCGCTCGTTAAAATTATCATAAAACCCAGAAAAACGGCATTTTTTTTCGTCTGGGGAAAGGAGGGGTTCAACGCCTCGACCTCGCTCAACATCTTATATCCATCAGGGGCGAAGCGTTTACATAATCAAATATCACCCCTTCCCTGGAAACATCGTCACAGTCGAATTCACCCTTAGACATAATAATTTTAATATTATATGCTTTTCATTAATTTGAATAGGCGTTCATGAAATTGCAAATAATTTAAAGCAGCTGAGTGTGCACAACGCTCGAAAACTACTCCATTGATATCTGTCACGCTCTTTTGAGCCACTCTAAAAAGCAGTCACGAGTTGCAAGCACTGCTTATGTAAGCCAACAATAATAATTAGACTGGTAGAGTTTCTCTAAAAAAAGGTAAGCTTTATAGTTCCAGTAAGAGTGCTTTTGTGTGTGTGTGTGTGGGGGAGGAGGGAGGGGGTTCGTGTTTTTATGGCCCTATAATCAGGTCATGCGGTCATGGCATGATATGACATTAGCTTCTGGCCACGAGAATCTAGTCAAAGACAGCCAAATTTAAAACTAAAATTAATAACATAATTTTTTTTGGTAGTTGTAGTATTACCATCGTCTCTGCTTCTTTGTCTTCTTTTTTTTAGATTCACATTTTTAAAGTGAACTTTACTGTTAAAAAATCTTGAGACCATTAATTCCAGTGCAAGATTAAAAGTTATAATTCCGTTTTGCCCAAAGTGGGAATAAAATAATAATTTAATGATACGTTTTTCTTGACTATTTTTACCGGTGAGCATTATACAATGTACACTACGAATTCAGGATTTGTTTTCACTCACAACTCAATGATGTTGCCTCGAAAAAGAAATTTTGTTTAAAATTATAGCCTGTTCCAATTGTGGGAAAGCTTTTCGAGTACGTGGTCTCATTTCTTTCTGGTTCTTTGTCTCACTTTGAGTATCCTGTGAAGCATGTCAGCATTTGCCCTTTCAATCACACTTTATGTGCCATAATGTGTGGATTGGATTTCTACTGCAAAACGTTGATCAAAGGCACAAAAAGTGTAAATTTGCAGTTCCCAAGGACACTCAAGTTTTAAAAATTACAACAACAAAAAACTGTCGACGTGCATTCGAATACACAGTGATCTCTCTCTCTCTCTCTCTCTCTCTCTCTCTCT